ACCTTCAAGTACTTTAATTGGGGATGGAATGAATGCTCTTCTTTGAGGAGCTCCTCAAAATGTGGTGGACAGGAGGGGAAACAGTTCCCAGTACTAAGATTACAAAAACTACATTTTATGCTAATGTGTTCTTTTTTTCCCCCCTTTCTTTCTGCAGGCTAATTACTGTTTTGCAGGTCCCTCCAATTCAATCCAAACTTAGAATTGCACTTTGTAATTGCATTTCATTGACTTCAGCTGAATCATTTGTGTTCTGGCATCTTGTTCCAGTCCTAACTTGTTTCTTTTCACAAGAATGCTTTGAAGTTAAACAATAAGATGGAGAGAGAATGTTAACATCATTTTGCATAATATTACTATTGCAGTTTTCTTGGCTGTGGGGTCCCTAAGAAACAAATACTTTAACAGACAAGGAAAGGGCTATTCAAAATAATTAAAGATGAAATCTCTTTTTTAAACAGTTACTATCCGGAAGTAGTTATTGCATTTGATAATGTCATGGGACACTTCTGTAGGCCCACACAGTGAGACTTCAAAAGGAACAATGACTGGTAGTCACATAACAGATTATTCTGAAATGCACAGTACTTTGATCAAGAAACAAAAACATAATTGAATGCAGGCATTGCTTAGCTGGTATCTCACTAAAAATGGGGCCTTCCCTAAGCATTTAACTCATTCACGTAACTTCCACTGCAGAAAAATGTGGTTAAAAGAAAAGGAGCTTTTAAACACTGGTTTTATGATCTACAAGACCAAACGATAACTTAAGTTATCAAATGAAAAGGACAATTTTCTTAGACTATAATTTAATTAAGCTGACCATTTTTAGTCAGGTCCCAAATAGTCTGGGCCATCTTCTGAGGTATTCTACCAATCATTTCATAAATAAAATGCTTAAGAGCTGAATTTGCCAACATAATTTAGATTCCCCTAGGCTCAGGTGTCATAGAGGTTTTTATAAAGGGAAAAGAAAACAAAAATCTAACATTTTATTATATTTCTCAAGTAAAACAAACTGGCTCCTTTCACTTTTTTTCACTTTTGTTTCTAAACTTCAAAATGTTGGGTTTCAAATGTCTGTTGATATTTTATCCGAAAAAAACAAAACTGACGGTATCTGGAAACTGGGTTAGGTGCACGCTCTTTCTAAAACCGGCCGATTAGCTGAAAGAGATTATAAAGTTAAAATAAACATTCAACCAATACTTTTTACTGTATGCTTCGTCAATGTACTTGACATTTATGTCTAGGTGCTAACTTGTTCACATCTAAGGCAAGGAAGACAGCTCTTACCTTCACACGTCTCCGTTTCTGTCCTGAACACATACCCAGGTGGGCAGGTGCAACTGTAACTTCCAGGTGTGTTTCGGCACAGGCCATTGTCACAGAGCAGTCTGTTTACCAAGCACTCATCGATGTCTGGAAGCACCCATTAGAAGACAGGAGATACACATATTGAAATATATAGCACAGTGACAGATGTTTTGTTTTTGTTTTCTTCTCACCCCTCTCCTTGACATAGCTTCTTTGTAGCCACAGCACATTCTTTGATCCCAAGCAAATAGATCTGGCTTTACTCAAATGGAACATTCTTACGCTGGTGGCTACTTTTAAGATGTTTTGAAGTCCCTGTGAGGTATGCTGTAGTTTGGAAAAGATACATGACTACTTTGTTCTTCGTTTACTTATTGTCCTCTACTGGTATTATATTAGATATGTTTAAAGCACCAACGAAATATATTAAAAGATTAATCTCATTTGCCTGTATGCTTGCTTATATGTAATAAAAATAACAAAATTTTAAAACTTTTATCTGATTAAAATTCTAATACAGAATGTATTACATGGCAGTTAAAGAAATATTAGTATTTACTAATCTTTTTCCATTACGTTTTTACCTCAGAAACAATTAAATATTAATGGAAAATTAATGATACATTTTATAAATTCCTTTAGCAGTCTAGAACAGCCAAGAGAATATTTAAAGCTCCAGTTTAAAAAGCTCAGGTTGAGTTTTATCTTCATACCCACATCCCATTTTTTCGAGTGTAGTTAATGACAGAAAGAAACAAAAATTGCAGTTTGGGGTGGAGAGATCCTTTTAAGCTTATATTTTTAGTCTTGCAAATAACAATTGTACCTGACCAAACATATACTTACATGGTAAAAATTCGGAAAACAGATTGAGAAAAACATTTCCTTTAATTCCATCACTACCAATATTACTAATTATTTGTGTTTTATCTTTCTTTCCTTTGGATATTATATTTTAGCTCCAATTTTGAACCTGGCTTTTAAAAATCAGCATTATACTTTAAGCATTACCATAATTTTCCTCATGATTGTATGTTTTACCGAGCGGCTGTATCATAATTACTTTACCCATTACTCCATGCTATGGATTGAATTGTGTCCTTCAAAAAAGATATGTTGAAGTCCTATCCCAATCAATACGCAGAATGTGACCTTATTTGAAAATAGGATTGTTGTAGAGGTAATCTAGTTAAAAATGAGGTCATTAGGGCAGGTTGTAATCCAATATGACCGATGTCCTTATAAAAGGGAAATTTGGACATAGAGACAGGCACACACAGAGGGAAGATGATGTGAAGACACACAGGGACAAGATGAACATGTGACTAGATTGATGCATCTACTAGCCCAGGAATGCCAAGGATTTCTGGCAAATGCCAGAAGCTAGAAGAGGAAAGGAAGGATTCTGCCCTAGAGCCATCAGAGAGCATGGTCACTGGACACCCCAAACTTTGAGACAATAAATTTCTCGTTTTAAGCAATCCAGTTTTGGGTACTTTGTCACAGCAGCCCTAACAAACTAAAACTGGAATTTGGCTTCATTTTTATTTTTAAAATTGAAAGTTATAGTTATTTATTTGTGTTTTGATTTCTCCTATAATCCATGGGATTAAACTACAAGAAAGGCTCCTATTTAAATATAACAAATAACTTACCAATACAGTTTCTTCCAGAGGCATCTGGTTCATAGCCACTGTTGCAATTACAACGGTAACTACCACGTAAGTTTTCACAAATTCCATTGGCACATATATCGGGATCCAAAGCACACTCATTGATATCTGCATCAAATGTGAAAGTTTAATGCTCACAGACATTTTGTTTGTTGATACATAATAAAGATAACTCAACATATGAAGTGTTTAACTCTGCTAATCCAAAATTTGCCTATGTTTCAGAAAGTAAAAGGGAGTAACAATAAGGAATAAGAATAAAACTGAGAGATACAGGGCACTTCCCTATTAAATCACAAAAAAAAAATGAAGAGAACTGGCAGAAATTCAAAGAAGTAAACCATGTAATGTGCCTGTGTTTATGATAAAATTAATAAATGGATTTATAGGCTGTTGGCTCAAAATCCAAAGGAAAACTCATCTTGATAGGTATTATAACTAACTAATTAAAAGACAAAGATTTACTAAGGTGGTCTGTACAATTTTATGGTCCCCAAGGTCATGGAATATTTTTTCTATTTTATTATATTTTTATAGTCAACTAAGTAATATGATATTTAATAAATGTTTCTCTGTTGATAAGTTGAAATTAATGGAGAGGACAGTTCAAACGTGGATGCTTGAGAACGCGATATTTCACAATAAGCTATGAACAGAACTACTCTCTGTTACCCATGTGCAGTGGGACTTCAGGAATGATGTGGCTGTTTGAGCAACCAAGCAGTTTCAACAGGTGGCTGGCTCTGCTGGGGAGGCCATATTAAAATGTAATAAAATATAGAGTAAGAATAAAATCAAATTTTGGTCACTGTGCTAAAATTTTGGTGCAAAATATCGTTTTCTAGAACTCGAAGACTTCAAATACTCCAGAAATGTCAGCCATTCATTTTATTTTTGGGAGGAACATCTTGTAAAAGTTTTCTTCTTTACTCTGGTTTCAACATGCATTGTAAAGATGCAACATTACTGTCACCTAACCTTAATTTGTCTAAAGTCTTCTCAAACATGGAAGTAGAATATATATGTAAAGTGCAGATTAACAGCACCCTACAGTTTTAGTTAAAAAAAACAAATAAAACTGTGACAACATGGATGGACCCAGAAGGTATTATGCTAAGTGAAATTAAGTCAGACTAAGACAAATACCATATAACCTTACTTATATGTGAAATTTAAAGAACAAAATTAACGAACAAACAAAACAGAAACAGACCCATAGATACAGAGAACAAACTGATGGTTACTAGACAGGAGGGGGCTTGGGGGGCTGGGTGAGAAAGGTGAAGGGATTAGAAAGTACAAATTGATAGTACAGGAGAGTCACAATATGTAAAGTACAGTATGGGGAAATATAGTCAATAGTAATATAAAAACTATGTATAGTGTCAGATGGGTAGTAGACTTATAGAGGGATCACTTCATAAATTATATAGATGTCTGACCACTATGCTGTACACCCGAAACTAATATAATATTGAATGTCAACGATAATTTAAAAAAATTAGTCACAGGGATGTGTAGTGCAGAATGGGGAATATGGTCAGTAATGTTCTAATAACTATGTACAGTGTCAGATGGGTAGTAGACTTGTTGGGGTTATCACTTTTGAGGTATGTAAATGTCTGATCACTATGTTGCTCTGTATGCCTGAAACTAATTAGAAAAATAAAGAATGTGAGACCAAATCATCAGAAAGATAAAGTTACATATTCAGACATTCAGTAATGTAGAAAAGTCAGTGAGCGTACTAGTTATATACTGCTGTGTAACAAATTACTCCAAAACTTACTTTAAATAAAAGAAAGGAAAACAACAAAAAAATAAAGTAAATTAAAAAAAAATGACACTATATGTATACTAACATACAAAATAACTTGAAAATTATGAACACATGTACTTGATATTCAAGGTTCCATTTTGGAATTTTATTAATTATATTGCTAAATTTAAAAGAAAACTTTAATTTCTTTAGTTGAATAAAAACATTTTAGTATTCTTAGGCATAAATAGTCTTAACAACTTATTTTTAGGGCAGTTTATCCCATTTCAAATATCTCTTAAAGATTTTTTTAACCATGTCAGCACCATTTTATAATGTTTTTCTTTAAATTTATTCACTCTTTTTTTAACCTACCAACTCTAGTCTCTTCATAAGCAATGGTATCTATAAAATCATGAGTATAGTTTGGTACTGATATTTTTAACAATGCATATTTAACCAATACATATTTATTCACTATGAAAAAGGTGAATCTACATAACACTTCATAATCATCCAGCTTATAACCATTATTCTAAGAGATGACATACCTTATTATTTTACACTGCTATATTTTTATAATATTAAATATAATCATATTCATAATGTAGAATCATAAAGCTGTACAATTACATAAGTATTATAAGATGCAGAATAGAATAGAGTTACCTCTTCCATCCACTGTGATTCCCACTCCACTACTACACAGACCATGGAATTCAGCTATATGATAAAAACGAATAGAGAAATTAGAAATTCTAAACTGTATCTGTTTTATACAACAAGTCACTTACATAACTCCAAAGCTATCATTAGGGAGAACTGCATGCATTAAATTTTAAAGTGAAAAAAAATGACCATTTTCTAGTGCATAATTATTATTAGACTTCCAAAAATAGTCCTCCTCTCCCTAAATGTGCGGGGTTACCCTATCAGCAGTGTAAGAGATTATCCATTTTTGTATACCCCTCCTAACACTGAGAAAAATCAATCATCTATACTTCACCAATCTCATAAACAAAAATGACATTTTATTTTAATAGTCTTTTAATTTTAGAAAGACTGGGCATCTTTTTACCATCTGGTAATTTACCATTTGCATTTCTACTTTGTAAAATCTTGTTCGTGTACACTGCACTTTTTCTATGAGAATTTCAACTTCCCTTATGATTAATGTAAATTCTTTATAAATTATGAAAAACAGTTTTCTAATTTCTATGTGTATTTTACTCTTTAAAGTCTGCTTTGAAAGTACTTTACCATTATAAATAATCAAAATTTTATATATTCTCTAAGAAAATTATTCTTGTAAGGTTTCATGTTGGGAGCTAACTTCATATTTTTCCTGATATTTATCAACAATACTCACTACTTAGTTCAATCCTTTCTCATTGATGTAAAAGCTGCGTTTATATCATATCCTACATTCCCATTTATTTCTAGAGGAATTCTCTTCATTTTGCAAAGGTTTGAATAACCCATTTAGAATTTTTAATGGAATGACAAGCCATTTCCTGTGCTGGAATGCTTTTCCTCCACCTTCCACGTAGGAAGTTCTCATTTTTTTCAAGACTACTTCTATTCCCATCTGTTTCTAGATTAACTTATTTAGTTCACTGACCTTTTAAATCTAGTCTTGTTATTAATTTTTGTACTTCTTTCATAATATGCATAATTCAACTTAATATATGTCAGGGCAAGTTTTCCTTCATTATTCATTAACTCTTCTTTTTAAAAAATGTCGTGCTCAGTAATTTTTCTGGATGAACTCTCATCACTTTGCAAAGGTATGAACAACCCATTTAGGATTTTTAATGGAACGACAAGCCATTTATTTTGCTGGAATGCTTTTCCTCCGTCTTCCACAAGAGAAGTTGTTATTTTTTTTCAAGATCAAACTAAGCATGCCCCCTTCTGTGAAGTCTTTCCCGGCTTCCCCAGGCAGCCAACCGTTCCTTCTTCCTTAATGCTCTTCCAGGTCTTTATGTCCCTTTACAGGGGCTAATAATACAAAATTGTAATGTTCACCTACTTATATCCTCAACTATCCCCAACTTGAAGGAAAGAGAGATTGTGTTTATTTTTTAATCCATATTGTACTTACATACACTCAATAGAGTTTTCTATATTCAATACAGTTTTAGTAAAAGTATGAATAAACAGGATCAACCTTATCAAGCTAAGAGTCTGGAATAATTGGTAGACTGTGGCCTATGACCATTCTGTGTTAGGGTAAAAATAAATAAAATCAGGTTCTTATGAATTTATTATAATCTTGAGAGCAGAAAAGAAGAAAATTTTAGGCTAGTTGTCTTCACACGACATCATAGATCAAGGACACTGAGACTAACGTATTCATGTAGAAAATTTGTTTTAACAATCACAAATAGATCAGCAAATATACTGGGGGTGCCAAAGCCAAAAAAATGTATACAAGTGGACACTTTGGTCAGTGCTGCTCAAGCAATAGTTTGCCATAATTAGAAGTGTCTGGATGCTGATGGTGCACTTTGAGCATCTCTTGTAATTGCTGAAGTGAAACGTGACTTGTATTCATCTTTTGTTATCCGTATATATCGAGTATTATAGTTTTAATACAATTTTCCTTTCTTAAAAAGTGCATATATTGTTTTGGCACCCTCTGTATTTTTCTAACTACCATGTGTTCTCTTCATCTAGAAACCATAGGTAAATATAAGCCAAATCTCATTATATGTCTCACATACCAACACAGGTTTGTATTTCTTTTCTTCAATTAAAAATAATGACAAAACACTTCAGAGCCGATGCACTCTCTGGCCAAATATCTAATGTTAAATTTCTATACTCTTTATCAGATGTGAAGCTAGCCAATGTGACTACCTGAATTTTTGGCAGGGCACGGCTGGCAGGGCTCTCCAAAACCATAGTCGGGGTTGGCACAGCAGCATTCCGACTTGGTCACTGCACCCGGGAAGGGACGGACACACACTCCTTTCTTGATTCCACCATAGCATGTACTGCGCATGTGAGTATCTAAAGGACATGGAAGAACAAGGGCTTGAGGTAGTGACAGACAAAGAGATTTCAAAACTTTTTGAAGGCTTCTTTTAACCTAAGATTGGAAGCTTCCAGAGGGCATCTGCCACTTTTCTTTTTCTTTGTATCTTGAGCGTCGCATAGTGTTAGAAAATCAACAAATGTTTGTTGAGTGAAGGAAAGAATAAATCCATATCAGCAACTCATTTTTCTTTCCTCCAAGCAGTTTTATGTGCTGCACAAGCAACTACTGTCCCACTTATCCCTCACAGGCCTTTGACTGAACCAGGTAACAGGTAACCAAGTGTATTTCCACAGTTATAAACAACACTTTGAGCTCTAATCACCAGCTAGCCTCTACTCAAAATGGCACTTATTATTTTATTTTAGAAGTTCCCATGAACAATGAAATGCAGTGAAGTTAAACTACCTTGAGATGATACGAAAATCCTTTTCAACCCCCATTTACCGTTTTGTCTATGTTTTACTCTCAGACTCTTGATAAATCCAGTTTTGAAAAATAATAACCACCACTGTGTGTCCTTGCCATTGTGCTACTTGCTTCACAGACATCATTTTATTGAACATTCAGGTCAACAACTCCACAGGACAGGGGTCATTATCCACACGTTACAGGTGAGGGCGGTCAGGTGCGTGAGTAGCTCCAAGCCCTCGATGATCCACTGCCTGAGCTGGGATTCAGGCTCAGACCTTGGCACCTCTAAATCCCTTCTTCTTTCTACTCTGTCATGCTACTTCTCAAAGAAGATCCTGCTTGGTTTTATCACTCTAAATTCTCGTTAAACATGCTACAACTTCATGAGACAGTAAATGATGAGCTAACTATAAAAAACTCAGATCATCATCAAGGCCAGAGAAACAGAACAGCTTTTAAGCAGTATACTGACATAGAAATTCCAGCAAAGAGCTGACCCTGATTATAAACATCTATAATTATTCGCAACTTGTTAGAAATAACTTTAGCCATTTGTTATGCAAAGTGAGTCATCCAATGACTTCTTATGATCTGGTAGTGTTTCTCATTAAAACAATGAGGATTCTGGCTGCATTAAAACAATGAGATGTGTGTATGCTCAAATGGAAGAGGGTAATAGATTTATTACCACACAACCATGTGGGAGAGGATGTGTCAGCCCTTTCTGCTTCTGCTGTGGCTGGATTTGAGTCAGTTCTGAGTTACACACAAGTGTAAGACTCGAAGCTAAGACAAATTTGCACAAACACAACCCAGTTCACGATTCCCAGTATGAGTTCTGTGAGATCTTCAGGTGTCACCAATTAGATCAGAAGGCATCCTAGAAAGTCAAAGTTGTTTCTGTATTCATGGTAAGAACAAAAGCCACACACGATTTTTATTGGGTCGTCGGGAAAGTCATGACACATTTCTGCATTGAAAAACACAGAAAAATACGTCATGACTTTCCCAGCGACCGAATAGGAGCAAGTCGATAAAACGCCTATGGTGTTTACTTGAAGAGTGCAACAGATTACATACTGGTTTGTGTCACTGGTTAACGACACCAGAAAGGTCATGAAAAAGAAAGGAAGGTAACTTATGTGTAGGTTTTAGGGACATGAATTGTGCTGGGCTCTGATCCCTGTGGGATGACCTGACTTAAATTACTCAACAGTTTTATCATCCATTAAATAAGAGTAAAGTTTATATAATAAATGCAAATGTGTTTGTTAAGCATTAAGCAGAGTGCCTAGGACACAAAGGAAATGCTCAAAAAATGGTGGCGACCTTATTTCTCTCCTGTCTTTAATGAGGACAGTCAGCCTTTTCTTGTTCAAAGACCCCAGAATGGAACCCTAGTTCCTATTATACTCATCAAATGTAACTAGCCGCTGTTCACAGGTGGACAGGGTAAGAGGTGCCAACGGCAGCAGCACACTCCAAACGTGCCCACGTGAACGCTTTGGCAGGGGGTTGGCACCTAAATGCCAACCTGTATCTTTTCCATATGTTATCAAGTTTCCCCATTCCTTTCCTTTATTAAAAATTGGAATTTTTAAAGGGTTTTCTCAGGTAATTATCAGTCTATACACCATTGGTAAAGTATGTATGGACACAAATGCTCATTTTATTTTATTCTTCTTTCTTTAGTATCAAGTTTATTGCTTAAAACAGCAACTCTATGCCCTCGATGTTGTGTGGCTATTCTAGTTTAATAAAACAATAATAATTTTGGGCATTTGCTATGTGCCTGGCATTATTCAAAGCTTTACGCAGCTAAACCTCATACTAACTTGTTTAACCTTCAAAACAACTAATGAGAAAAGGAGGCACAGAGAAGGAAGGTATCTCGCCCAAGGCCACACAGCTTGTAAGTAGCAGAACTAGAATTAAGAAGAAGAAAATTAACCTTTTAACTGACAGAAATGTCAAACAATGTTCATAAAGATGCTGGCACATCTGATACCCTTGAAACTAATAAAATAAAATTATATTAAGAAAAAAGAAAAAAATGCTGGCACATTCTTAACCTAATGTAAAAAATTTTTGTGCTGAAATCCCATAGTGCTAAATATCAAATAAAAAGGTGAATTTGGAAACTCCATCCTGAAGGGAGTAGATACGGAAAATTAGTTACCTGGTCCTTAGACCCCTCCCAACATCAAGTACATAAATAGTTTAGAGAGTGCCCATTAAGAGAGAGTTTTTGAAAAGGATTTTAATTTTTGGCAAGAGCTTGATTATGAGTTGGAGGTGCTTCCCTCCTCACCTCTAACTCTTTGAAGAAAGAGCTCTGTAGCCACCTCTGCCTGGGATACTCAAGAGGCAAAGGTGAGTGGCAGCTATTCCTACTGTAGGAGCAAAGGTGGGAGGTGAGATCGACCTGTATTCCCATGGCAAACGGGGCACAGGATGGGCATGTCCTCTGCATTGGACACAGGCCCCATCCCAAGGGTCCTAAAATGGCCACGTGGGGGATGATGAGACACTGGCAGACGGTCTGTCTGAAGTGGACTGCGAAGAGACCAAAGGCTGGGGAAGGAGTGGCCACTAGGAGACAACTGCAGCGTCTGCATCTCAGGAAGGGCAGCTGAGTGTCTCTGAAGTCCCAGGAACCGCCCCAAGGAAGAAGCTGACCCTGAACATATGCAAAGCCCAGGAATCTGGAGGTCGTAGGACAGTATCAGTGCTGCTGCCCTCGCCCCTGTCCTCCCGCCTCTGGCCCCGGTGGAATCGGAAAACTTGCTGGTAAAGGTCTGAGCTTGGGAGGCAAGGTGTAACTTCACATCAAGTTTAGGAAACTAATTATTATATGGTAACAGACATTCTAATTTCTAAATAAGATTATTTTCATTACATAAAGTAGTCATATAATTTTTTTTTGTTACCTAAAAATAGTTAAGTTATGGGGTAGCCTGCGTTTTTTTCCTTACTTATTGGATAAACAACTGCCCCCATTGAATCAATTTAAAGGTAAATTTTAAAATGATGGGAGAGACCAAAATAGAGTTGCCTTTTGCTCATATTCTGCCTGCGAGTCATGCTTCTTCAAAGTACTAGTCACAATAATAGCACAATTTTCTGAAAATAAAAACCCACATCTCAGTATCTAGGGAAATAAAAATGAACAAACAAATAAACAAAAAAGAAATCTAATATTACACTGCTAACCCTAACAATCATTCATCATCGTGATTCATTTCCAACTTCCAACAATCTGTGTATCTCAAAAGCATCACCAAAGGCGCACGGCACGAAGAAATCACATCTAGCATGACAACAGTAATATATAATTTTATGCACAGAACAAATGATGTTTTTATTAAAAAGTTTAAGTGACCACAACTGTGAATACCTGGAGAGGACTCTCCGACAGTTTCTGATGCCTTTTCTGTATATGAACAAGAGAATGAATTTTTGTGATTGAATACTGAATTCCTAACAACTATCCATATGTTGGTTGCTTAACATAATCATAATTTCTCCCTCCCAAACTGGTTTTGTACTCATTGTAGGTTTCAACAGAAATATTTAGGTAAAGGAAAAAAGCAATTAAGTGTATTAATGCAACTGAAAATACATTTGCTTTCTAAGCAGGAGGGAGCTACGTTCTTCTAGTTGCTGTATTTGAAATGTTCCTGAACAAAGGGCTGACAATCTTGTAAGCTGAAATAAATCCTAGATTGGAAAGAGTGGATGAATTTAAGTGGACAGATTATTTCTATCTGCTGTGGTTTTTGTTTTTTGCTTTTTTTCCCCTTCAGGATCCAAATGTTTTGATTCCCACAAGTAAGAGTAAAGCATTATCAGCTATATCTAAGAAAGAATTTCATTTCCTCAAATATACTTTTAAACCAATGAGTATGCCTCCCTTTTAGTGAATAACCTGAAGAATAAAGACTGCACAATGGCTAATGCACCCTAGAAGTCTCATGAAAATGCTCTGGGGAAAAAAATGGCATTAAATATATTTTTAAAACTTGCTCACTCTGCTATTGTTATCGTTAGCACAGTAGTAGTTGGGTTTAGAAATGCCAATGACATTTTTATTTTGCCTGCTTCTTTAAAGCTGGTGACTGTAAACTCTGGTTGATTTTCATGGAATCCACTTAGCAAAAGTATACAAAAAAATTCTGAGTGGCTTAGAATAAAATACAATTCTCTCTCATCCTCTTCCCTTGTCTCTATACTTAGTTGCATAGTGATGAAGAATAACTACATTAAACACATGTCTAGCTTTTAATAGTAAGTCCAAGTTCCATGGTATGTTATTTACATTTTAAATTTTGTTTGGGTAAAAATAAGAGCCTACTTAAATATAACTATACTACCCATTTCTTGTATTATTTGTTACTAATTACAAAATTTAAATCCACTATATTTAGATACTCAAGTAATCTAACATTATCAAGGGTGGTAGATTATGGATTTTTTTTTCCTTTCCAGTGTTTTTCACTTGCCTTTCCTCAGAGTCTTTTGAAGGGAGCTGGCTGGGCTCTCTTTCCATTTTTCTTAAAATTGCTTTATTAAGATAGGATTCGTATGTCATAAAATTCATCTATTTCAAAGTGTACAATTCAGTAGTGTTTAACATATTCACAGATATGTACAACCATCACTACAGCTGATTTTAGAACCTTGCGTCACCTCAAAATACCCATTAGCTACCTCCCCCTTCAACTGCCACCCCCACTCTCTCTGCTCTAAGTGACCACTGACTTGCTTTGTCTCTGTAGACTCAGCTACTATGGACATTGCTTATGAATGGAAGCATACACTGTGTGGTCTTTTGTAACTGGCTTATTTCACTTCATATAATGTTTTCATCCTTGTTTTCCCATGTATCAGTCAGTACTTCATTCCTTTTTACAGCTGAATGCTATTTCACTGAATGGATCTATTTCTGTCGCCTTTCAAAGATCATTTGGACACTGGGGCCATTACAGAACGCTGCACTTACCGACACACACACGTCCATCCACGCCCACAGCCAGGCCTGGGGGACAGTCGCAGCGGAAGGACCCTTCGTTGTTGATACAATGCCCATTCATACAGATTCCTGGGGTCTGGCACTCGTCAACATCTACCGAGAGGAACACATGAGTCAGGTCATCACCGGGTAAATTTACTTTATTTTTATCTGTTGCCACTACTGTAGACTTTCAACCTGTTGTTTTTAATGTTATAATTCGTGGAAGAACACATAGATGTGATAACAAATTTTATACTTAAATGCAACTCTTTGAAACACATTTTCAAAAGACTAAGTGAAAGTTGCCTCACTTGACCCATTAGGAAAAAAAGAGCCTTAGAAACTCATTCTTCATTATTTATTTGGCAACCCTGTTTAATATTAAGTAATATTTAATCCAAAGTAGTTGAGTGAAACAAATTCTTAAAAGTGAGGTAAACTTTTTAATTACCTTTTATTTACACACACACACTTCTAATTACGATGGATGATATTTTGATATTAATTTGATTAGTTCATAATAACAAAAAAGTTTGGGGTATTTTCAATCTGCTTCAATTTATCAAAGGTAACCCAACATTAAATGGCTTCTCCAAATGATGAAATAGCATTCAAAACACAGGGCTGCCAAATCATGAACTTAGGATCACAACATATACAATAAAAAAACTGATAAAAAATAATTTCAAAAAAGCAGAAACTGGTGAGCTCTAGGTCATCTTTCTATGTGTATTTTGGTTTCTTAAGAAATGTTGAAATAAGTTACATGTTGTAGTGTGATGCTATACACTGGAACCTAACGTTAATCTCACATCCTGGGTGACAACCAAGTCAGCTAACCTTGAGATGACATCCCAGTCAGGAGTTCAAATCAGCAAAGCTACAATAGTTCTATTTACTCCTGTATTCCCCTTTCTTGAATAGTTAAGAGACTATTCTGAATTTTTTATTCAGAAACATGAGAATCAGTCTTGATTTTCTCTCTCTAATGTCCCTGGAATTTCACTGAAATTATAGGGATTAGTTAGGAGTCTTATTAGCTATTCAGATAAATTTGTGCAATTGAAGACAGAAAGTACTCATGGAGTTAATTTTGTCTAAAAGAGGAAAACTGAAAACAAAAAACAACCAACTTGTTTCTAACTAGGACCTGCAAAATTTGTTCCATCTTACTAAATTCCAATTGTGAGTATACACACAAGATAGCCTTCTTTATTTCCAAGAGGCATATCTTTTGCTTACTAAAGTTATCACTAGAGCTTGGCCTTCAAAATGGCTTTATGAACAAAACAATTGATAGGACTATTTAAAGTATTTCTTCACCAAATCAATGTAGGATTTTTAGATAATGATCTGCAGATTAGCTTTATGGAAAAGATGTAATACAAAACCAGTAATGAACGACAGTGGAAACTCTAGTTCTGAGAACACATAGAGATGAAAGCCCTTCAAGATTTCTTTTCTTCCTCTTTTTTATTCAGGCAAGGGGTAGAGGGAAATTATTTCTACATTGTCTCTTCCAGACTTGCTAGAACCAAGCTGTCATTCCCTTAATTTTTCCTATTCCATTATTATTTTTGTAAAGATATTACTGTTCCCTAGACCACAATGTGTGTTTTTCTAGGAAGCTTTAGACACCTGCCTTACTGAATTAGAAAGGGATGTGGATAATATGAAATCCACATGAAGAAGCTGAAGTAATTCTTGCATGATTCATTCAAGTGAAAAAGATGGTTTCAATCGCGGTTCCCTTCCTATCTTAAAGCCACACATACCAGTGCAGTAACGGCCATTTGGAGCCAAGACAAATCCTGGTTTGCAGATGCACTTGAAGCTGCCATCTTCGTTAATACACATCCCATTCAAACACATGTTGGTAGTTGTACATTCGTCATGATCTGCGGGAGGAGAGAGAGAGACTCGCACCACTGGCCTTGAGGGACTCAGTCTCCTTTCCTTCCACAAACAATCACCAGGCAAATTCCACTACATAAATGAGCCATGTGCTCACGGATTTTTTTTTTTTCAAATATGAGTGCCAACTGAGTGAGAGCAAACAGTGTGGAGAATGTGAAGGGCCTTTCGGATAAGGGACATAAAGGAAAAGAGTTAAGTAAATTTGGGAGCTTTTTGTGGCTATTAAAGCCACATGAGTAGCATTTTATGTTGATGACCGAAACAGTTATTATGATTTCAGGGGGTGTTTCTTTTGTAAGAAAGAATAAAGCAACGACAAACCTTATTGTGAGTAAAAGGATCTGGACTTTCATTAGTGGGTGGAATAGGCATTGCTGTGTGAATAAAATATTTCCATGGGGTAATGGTACCTGCTGCCCTGCTATACATCACCAGGAACACAAATTTAGAGATTTGATTATTGCATACGCCAAACATTTTTATATTCCCCCAGGGTGGGGGTGGGGAGACCTTTTATGTCTTGTCAGTGTTGTAACACCAATATGTGAAATACAGTACATACTAATAGTTATTACAAGGAATAACAGCTACTTACAATCAAACATATACCACACAGGAAATTTCCAGAAGCAGTGAAGTATTCATTGTTTATAACATTAAAAAAAAATCTGTCCTTTCACTTTAATAGTCTTATGTCAAATGCATTTATATTTTCCTTAAGTCACCTGAAGAATTCTCACATATGTGTTTTGTGAGCTTTCATGGAAACAGTATACACGGTTCTAAATAAAAATGTATATCCTTTAAAAATCTTTTGCAAGGGAGCAGGCGATTTCCATACCAACACAGTTTTTTCCATCTGTAGTTAATTCAAAACCGGCATTGCAAATGCACTGGAAACTTCCATCTGTGTTCACACATCGACCGTTTTTACAAAGAACCCCATTCTGGATGCACTCATCGATATCTAGGAAGGTTAAGAATGGCCAAGCGTTATTCTTTTACAATAATTATAGGCCAAAACAGTAAGATAATAAATTTAATGTTAAATATCCAGTTTATTTATACAAGATCACGTTGCTTCTTTAGCCAAATTTCCATCTCTCACCAGCTTTTTTTCTTTTTCTTGGATAGGTAGGTATGTGGCCCTGACTTATTGTAGCTAAAGAGGGAAAGAGAAATGAAATGGGGTGTGTGGTGACCCTAATAGAGGGCAGGTAGTGCAGCTGGGATTGGGGGTGCAGCTGTTTTTGACAGAGCGGTGGAAGACCTTAAAAGTCAGGCAAAGAGTAAAGTAACTACAGAACATCTCGATTAAGAGCAACATCATGAAAACTGCTGGAGTGAGCTGGTTCAAGCAACTGCCTGTGGATAAACGGGAAATGAAAAAGAAGGTAAGCAGAGTCGTCTGCTAAAAGAATTCTGAGATGCATCAGCAGTGAGATAGTGTGGACGCTGGTGGTGAGTGTAGCCATGAAAAAATAAAAGCCAGGCATGATTTGATGTTGGACCGTGTGTGACGGTCAGAGAAAACAGTAGATGAAAATGATGGTAAATATTAAGCGTTGTTAATCAGAGAATAGCAATGCTACTAATGTTACTTGGAGAAGGGAAACTGTGATCTAGGGAAGGGAGATAAATGGAATTTTTATGAAGCCAGATACCATGTTGCCTGGGTTATAGATGCAAATAATGTTTATGCATAAAGGGAGCGCTTCGATGCAAAATAAGTCAGTAATAATGTAACAGCACTTATTTCATTCCATGTCTTATTTTAATAAGTTGACTTTGAACCTCCACAGCCTGGGTCGCTGTGTGTCATGGAACATTCTCCTCGTGAAAGCAAACTGCCTTACCAATGCATGCCTGCTTGGTAGGAGTCCTCTGGAACCCAGCGTGACATTTACAATAATAGGATCCAGGTGTGTTAACACAATCTCCATTAGTGCAGGGATTTGATGTGCATTCATCAACATCTGCGAGCAGCAAAAGAAACCATTACAGACTTCACTCCGTTCCTAGAAATGTTTGTTTAAAGTACATTTAGGCCTCCCAAATTTGAGAGGCCAGTCAGTGGTAATAGTCTAAATAGCAGAGTATTTATAAATGAATGAACATTCCTTTCTTCAAATACAGGGGCCAGTCTGGAGATTTACAAAAAAATGCTGCCTATTGGAGAGTACAAGGGAATTTGCTTTAATCAAGAAATAATGATTTTTCAATTTGAATAATGCACAATGATTAAAAGCATGGGCTCGTTAAAGACACAGCCATGACTTCCAATAGGCTATCACGCTTATTATCTCTAGTAGTCTGGGCAAGTGAATAGCCTCACTAAGTCTTACTTATACAATGTTAAAAGAGCAATTGAAGATTTTTCAAAATATATGTTTATATTACACGTCACTTGTAATAGTTTTAACAAAAGAGACTGAGGGAATTTCATTGTTACGACTTCTTGTGAACTCAACTATATACGCACCTCTATATGCATTGAGGCTTGGGTAATATTTTGAAGTAACAAACATAGGGTAGGGTGGAAAATGGAAATTAATGAAAACAAAGCCTATTGGTTTCAGTAGCTTCCGGTTTCTGATCTTAAAATTGGCACAGGAATTGTTTGCATGATATAAGTTGTATGCAAGTACTAGTTCTGATCCTAAATATGAAAACTATCACTGCTTTTCATTCAAGACCTCTTAAAGCTTGATTAAATGCAAACCCATCGTAGAATTCATAAACGGCACAACCAAATAGCAGAGTGAACAGTTTGGCCTTGTCAACTCCCAGAGAAATCACGTGTGCCAGTGTTAGAAAAAGTTTCATTCATCTCTCTCAGCAGTGCCCCCCTAAATATTATTTTGAATGATGGCAAATTAAAAAGCTGGCTGGCTGGTGAAGGCATAATGATTTGCCATTTCATATACATGTACAAGTCATTAACATATACAATTTCAGCTAAATTGGAGCACACAATAAAATCAATTCACAGGTTTACCATTTTAATAAACAGGTTACTCTTTTCACAGATGTTCTTAAAACAGGAACTTTATCAAACTCACCAACCTCAATTATATAAACACTCAGGCTGAATGCAATTAAGCTCTTTCTGGTAAAGAAGGAGGAAAACAAAAAACCTCATAGCAAATAAAATAAAAACAACAAGAATAACAAGATTAAATGCTTTTTCAATTCAACTGAAGACACCTTCAGCCTCCCCTTAAGACTCACTTACATTTAAACTTTGGTTGATAACACCAATTCTACTGAGCCGAAGGAATGTAGCAAAATGAGAAAAGAGAGAGTTTAGAGTGTTAGTAGCATATAAAATATAATTAAGGGACGTTAAAATACGAAGTACCACTTTTAGTTTGCAGTGCTGAAGATCCTTTAGATTCTCTGTGTGCACATAATATTGAAATGCAACCATTAAAAATACGTTGTAGGTGCACCTTTATAGAAGCCTCATTGTAAAGCTCTGCTCTAGTGACAAACTTGAGATCGTGCACCCAACCTCCCCTCTTTAGGTATACTTTCTGGGAAGCCGTGTGCTTTTTCAGGACCTTTTCCTCCCTTTGAGAACCTGTTTCCAAGGCCCCCAAGTGGCTCTGACAGCTCTGCCATTTATTTTGCCATTGCAGCCTTAACTCATTTGTTTCCTTAGCCCCGTAGGGCTAACGAACTAGTGCACAGAGAGAACATACAGTTCACTTATTTGTTTCTTCTTTGAAAGGGAAAACGATCACCAAAAAACAATAGTGACTTTACAAACCATGACTTTACAACCCCATTTGTTTTCTAGGATATTGTAAGATTTTAAAGTTTTAGACTAATCACAAATGACCATTGCCACGTTCTGAAATCTACACCTCCTGCCTCTTTATTCTGAGTCTCCCAGCCTAGGACTTCTGAGTGTTGGCCTTTGTTCTGCCTTGTGTAAAGGCACAGAAGGATTTAAACATGACAATCTGTGCACTTAGATTTTTTTCTACGTCTTCACTGGGGACTGAGCATTTTTTAAGCAAAATTCACATAATTTTAAATTCCTAAAACAAATAAAGTAATTGAGAAAGATGCTGATTATCAAAATGGTTAAATTCTCAGATACTATGGGAGTAAAAAATATTTACCCTTGAAAAGTACTTTATAGTCCAACATTTTTAATTTGCAAGGGCTCTGACATTATGTCTAGCTCAACAGAAATGATTTCTTACTACTCCAAAATAGAATGATTTGAATTGAGTTAAAAATACTGCTAACAGCAGTCTGACTTGCACTGACAGGAAAAGAGTCAAAGAAATTCAGTTTAGAGTAGAATTCTCAGTAAAAAGAAAGAAAAATGCGATGAGTAAATGTAACTATTTTCAGGTCTCAGGAGTAACTCATATATTAACCCAATTCTATTTTCCTCATCTTAGATCCAGTAATACAGTTATTACCTTTCAAGTTACACCACCTCCTCGGTATCTAACAGAAGTTCCCAAATAGCAAGGACAGTTTGCTATTCCTCAAAACACAGGTACAATGAAAATAGTTACCGCTTTATCTTGGTCTTATATCCTCTCAACTTTTTTTTGATATCCCAACTTGTTGTTTATAAGCTCAAACTGACTAGAATTTGACACTAGAAAATAAAAAATACTAAAACCTTATTTTTGTTCCTATGAATTACGATAGAAAGATAACTCTGCCAGGGTTCACTGCAGGGCTAGGCGATGAGATCGTACTAGAATGGAACCGTTTGTAATAATATTCGGGTGAAACGCAGACGTTTGAGATTTATATTCACACATTAACTGTGCAGACAGAGAATCCCAACACCACATTAGACAGAGTTCATACAAAGGGTCGTAGGAGCCCTTCTCACCTGGGTTCCAGGAAAAGTAAGACACTTAAGACATCCAATTTATGGGATTAGCTCATCTCTTAAGAGTTGTACTAACTAAATATATATCACCCTTGGGAGAACTAAAAAAACAATCACTAAAATCACTTTCTGCAGCACTTAATTCTCTAGAGGAGCCCAGGCTGAGAAGGCTGGGCTGGCAGCATGACTACAGAAAGAAGAGCTGATCCTTAAGGACTGTTTATCTTTAAACCAGTGGTTCACAAACCCCCCAAGAAGAGAGGTGTTTTACTAGCTAGAATAAAGTGCACCTCGGCACTAACATGGAATAAATTGTGGTTTCTGGCTACTTCACAGAAAATATTTAACTTCTGGCCTTCTACTTGTTGGTTAGTGAATCATGCGGTGACATATGAAGGACAAATATTAATAGCAAAACAAAAATAGTCAAATTTCAGTTTGATAGATCGTCTTTGTGTATATATGTGTAAAAGAGTATTTATATATTGTATGCTTATAATCATCTTTTCTGCTAGTAAAATAATTTTCAAGTTATATAATAAAAATAAACATGTCACTATTTCATGGTGCTCCAAAAATAACCACTTGGTTTATCACTTAAGCAAGCATCACGTAGTATCAGAGGAGCCAGGGCTGCTGTACATGGTTATATAAAGCAAATGTGTGACTGGTACCTTCACCAGTTGTGCAGTGCAAAACCTGTGCAACCGTACATAAGGGATCCTGAGCTAAGCCTTATTAATCATTCTAATCTTGCAGCTCCATACACAGCTTAGAATGATCCTTTTTCCAAAATATCATATTTGGCTCAGATTTTCCTTCATAATCATAGTGCACTCAGACTTTTTTAGTTTAACTTGGCAAAATTCTAATACTAGCTCTCTGTTGCTGGCCTCTCATCTATATTTTGTAACAGAAGACCTGACCCCAAATCTGGTATTTAGGGCTATGCTTATTATAAAACATATACACGATCATTTGCTAATATGATGAATAAATGAATACCCTCAAAATGGTTCAATTCCCATAGTCCTAAAACTCTTCTTAAAAGATCTTCAAAATTTTCATTACGAAATCCAATAGATTTTTCTGCCACATTTAACACTTGACACTTTTCTCTTGAAGGTGTACTCTTGTATAGCTTCAGTGACATAATACTGGATTATTTTTCTGTCTGTCCAAGACTATTACTAAGTTTTTTTTATGGACTTAGGTTGCTGTTCCACAGGGTTTTAGCCACAGTACCACTTTTATCTTTTCATTCTTTCTGTTTAGTCTGGGTGACAATATTCACCCTCATGGTTCTAATAGCCACCTGTACATTACAATCAAAACTCCCCCTGAATACTCCTCTCAGCTTTCGACCTCTATAATTAAATGTCCCGGACAACCTAAAACTCAACATGTCCAAAAGAAACACATCAACTATTCCCTCCCAGGTGGCACCTTCTTCTGCATGTTAATGACACCAGTACATATCCAGTGCTGTTCAGCTAGGAAGGAAAGGAAAGGCGAGGCAGGGGCAGAAGTCTCCACACTTAGGATCTGAAAGGGTGGGGGATTCCAGAAGGGGCCTAGCTTGGCACAAGGTTAAGGGTGCAAATGAAAGAGCATGCACACAGGAGAGGCAGCTTGGAAATTAGCTTTACTTCAAACTTAAAAATCATATTCAGTCCAATTTCTTCCTGTAATTTAAAAGCTATCCAAAAACCAAGAAGGATCAAAGACTCATGAGCTTACCTATGCAATCCCCATTTGCGTCCTGCTTATAGCCCATGTTGCATTCACATCGGTAGCTAGAAACAGTAGGTATGCAGCGTCCATTTAAACAGAGATTAGCATGGTGCTTACAGATATCTATTGTCTGGTTCAGAATAGCTATGGGAAATCAAAACACACGTGATATTGCATCATGACAACATGAAGTACTTTTCTTAGAGCTGATTTTTAAAAGGATGCTTAATGGTACATTCAGTATATATATGAAAAGGTCACAGAGAATAATAAAATGTAGAATAATATTTTATTAAAAACTTTATTGTTGAGGATATAAAAATATCCTTGACACACATGGCTGTTACTTGCATTTGTTAAGTTATGCATCTGGAGACTTTGCTCATAATCACGCCCTTTTAAATTTTCAGGAATGTTCTACTGTACATTTGAATGCTTTCCATTTCTTTTTTTTTTTTGTAACTGTGCTGAATATTCAGATATAGAAAATAGGCAACATGCCAAAAAGAATAAACATAACACTGTAGGACATCATTAAATATTATTAGCAAGAGTAGTTCTTTTAAAAAGAATGAACTTAAATGTCAAGTACACCAATGCCAATTCTGGCCTGAAGCCCACGGTTCTCCATTTCTTAAGTTATTCAACAAAAAAGGGTGAGGAAAAAAAAGATATTTCACTATAATATTTGGATAGGCAGAGAGCAAGGCTTATTCAGTTTATCTCAGTTGAGAAATGGTTCTGGAAATCATTCCAGGGGTGTATGAACAGGGCAGCTGCAAAGGGCCAAATGAAATACACTGGACCCAAAAACGTGCCCTCAAATGGCATCATCTGGATTGGACCATTACTGTGCTCGCATCTCTATTCGCAAAGGAAGCCTGGGTCACTCATTCTTTTCTCCAATTTGAAAAGTTTATGGAACAGAAAGATAACATTTTCCTAAGAATTTTTTATTACCACATTCTATTTTAGACCCTGATATAGGTTTTTACATACACACACACACACACACACACACACACACACACACACACACCTTTTGGGGAAGAAAGTGAGCAATTATAATATCATTTAAGGCAGAAAACTAAAGAGTTTACACAAGAAGTAAACACTCACTTAGCCCAGTGATGATGGGTCCCTGTCCCCCGGCCCCTACGCCCGCTCCCCCGACGCCAGGAGAAAAGCCATTGCCTCCGGGGATGGGGATGAAGCCGGTCCCTCCTGGGCCATAACCATTGCCATTGCCACTCGGGGCAAAGCCATTCCCCCCAGGGCCTCCAGGTCTGGAACCAGCATTCCCTGGAATCCCTCCTATTGGAAGTCCATCCATGCAAAGCCTGCGGTATTCCTCTACAAGAAAAGAAAGTTCAGTGAAACACAAATGGTTGTCTTTCTGCATAATGAAAGCAATCTGTGTACTGTAATGATCATTTTAGCTTATCTATACCACATGATATAAATAAGTAGGGAATTATCTTGATAAATGTTTTCAATGCTAGCAGTAGCAGGAAAAGGTACAGATGTTTCGGAAAAAATTTAAAACCTAAATGTCATCTTTTAACTGAGTTGCATAACCAAAGAATCATCTATATGAGCATTTCGATTTTATGCCCCTTAGGACAACGCATAAAATTCTAGATATAACTATGAATGCAAAAAAATTTTACTTGAATGGATGAAAATTAAAGCTTTAAGTAATTCATTCCACATATTTGATTTTACTTGAAATTTCATCAGGAATTTTCATCAGGAATACACATGTTTCCTATTACTTTTCTTCTCATTAAAGGATTAATACGGCTTCATAATAATATTTTTTCTAACATAGATTTTTAACAGAAGATGGTATTTAATAAGCTTTTAAATCTGCTCTTTATTTGTCCAAGTATCAAAATTGAGAGAAAAGAAAAAGAATATAGTGATTGCCTTATTTCCTTACCTGTTCTCAGTATTAGAAAAGCTGTATCAGAAGAAATGAAAATTATTTAACTCGACTAATTGTTTTAATATTAATCTTACCATTACATATTACTAATGGAACTACAAGTTTCCAAAATTATATACTATGCAATAACTCTGCTCTAAAAATGTTTTCTAGTTGTTCTTGATATTTTATAGCTTAGATACTTTCAAAGAATGTGCCTTAATTTTTTTCTCCATAACAATACATATAGATATATATTTTTATAAGCATATTTCAAAAAGTTTAATTATTTTTATAATTATAATTTAATATGAAGACATATAATAAACTACATTGATATGCCCCTATGTGATAAACATTAATTGCACTTAACTATTCACATTATATTAATAAGAGAAACTACTTCTCATTTATCCTAAAGTAATTTTCTGATATAATCTCAGTTATATGGCAGTTAATACAGCAAAGTGAATAAGAGGTGTCCTCCTACGATTTTATTCTTAGTTTTCAGATCATTAAAAAATAGGAAATATCTTCAAGGATTGGGACACTACAAGATAAAGATACTCCTGAAATAAAATATAAATGAAGGTAGAACTTTGTTATTTAGATACTCCAGCTCTGGAATGAAAGATCAGGAGGTTTTAAAACAACTGAAATATTGACATTTCAAAATAATTTTTAAAAATACTTGCACAAACACAAGTCATAATCATCTCTCAGGAATTTTTTTGATATTAGTAAATTGAATATAATCAAAACTGGTCCCAAACAAACAATGCCACCCTATCCCTCACAAAAACACCCAAGTCATATTGAAGACAGTAAGAGGAACAGAAATAGGATCTGACTTCAAGGAGAAGAGCAAAGTATAATACGATGGTACTCATTCTCCTAATACTGTGTATCCTGAGGAAACTCGCAACAGGCTGCTCACCAGAGCCTCTCACGGGACAGGCTTCAGGGATGGTTCCAAGGCCCCAGCAGCGGCCAGGCTCACAGCAGCATTGCATTTTTGTCATTCTGCCTGGGAGCTCTTGTGCGCAGCGACCATTCACCAGGCCCGAGAAACATGTGCCTGTTCTTTGATCTGAACATGTGAAAATAAAATAGAAGGCATGGCAGAATTATCTCAGGTTCTTACATCAATCATTTCACATATTAAAAGAGGCTAAATGAAAGGAATTATTTTACTTAATCTCTATTTACTCTCTTAATTTGTATGACATTTATTCATTCCTTTACTTACGTGCTGAGCCAACATTCATTGAGCACCTATGAGACGCCATATCCCAGAGACACACAAATGAAAGGTGGTAAAGACATGAGCCCATCCTACAGTAAGAAGCCGAGCTCAGACAGATCCAGGGCTTGAAGGGAAGCAACAACCCACTCCCATCCTAGATTCTCCAACCCACAGCTGACCTGCAGATGTGTACTGCTGTTTGCCATTGAGATTTTGGGGGGTTGTTTGTTACACAGCAGTATCTGATGGATACAGGTCTGTTTTAGAAAGGTTGATCAGAAGCAGCTCTTTGAGACAGTGACATCTAGAGAGAGGCTTGAATAAAGTGAGATCATGAACCACACAGTTACCTGAAGGAACAGCAGTTCAAAGATAAAGAAGGGGATGTGCTTGATGTGTGTATAAAACAGGGGTCAGTGTGGCTGGAGAAGAGCATGTAGTCGTAGGGAGAGTAGGAGACTGATCTCAAGCAGATATCAAAGCAAGATCTCAAACAGCCTTGTAGTCCTTTAGGGAAGGACTTTTGGGTTTTATTTGGAATTCTGTAAGAGTCATTGCATGATTTCAATTAGAGTAAAGACAACAGTTTACATTAAAAAAATCTCTTTGGCCACTGACCAGTGAGTGCAGGAAGACCAGTGAAGGTGCTACTGCAGACCCCCAGGGGAGAGATGAGAGTGGCCTGGGTGAAAGTGATAGCAGTGAAGATGATGACAGTGGTCAGATGACAGACATATTCTGACAGTACAGCCAATGAGAACTTGCATGGGCACAGGGTATGAGAGAGAAGAGGAAATTTCCCAAGTTTCAGACTCACAACTGAGATGGTGATAATAAGGGAAGCAGCAGGATTAGAGGGTATCATACAAGGCTACTCTTTAAAACATGTTCTATTTAGAATATAGAATATATGAGCCTGGAACCCAGAGGAATGGCCAGGCTGAAGATACACACCTATGATACACACACACATGCATACACATACAGAGGGTGCCAAAAAATGTATACATATATTATCTTAAAATGTATATACATTTTTTGGGGCACACACACACACACACACACACAGTGGTGTAAGCCATGAGACTGGATGAGACATTTTTAAGAACTAGGGGCAATGAGTTATATGCAAATGGTGCCGAACAGTTAAGTAAGGTGGAGGTTCAGATGTAACCACTGGGTTGGCAGGACTGCCACATAAGGAGTTTGCACATCATCCTGCAGGATTGGGGGTAGAGGCTGACATGATCAAACGTGACTATAATAAAGGTCACTGTGGCAACAGGGTAGGGAATGGATCAGAACGGCAGATAAAGGCTAGAAGACACCATCAAAAGACTACATTAAATGCAAAAAGTGCATAGGGATAAAATAATAGCACCTGTACACTCTGTGGGTTTATGACTGAAGCTGCCCTTATTGTGAGCGATGAAAGAAATCGTGAGCCTAATTCATCATCTAGCATTCAACTTTTCTCAAGGTGCTATCAAAGGTATTTTGCCTAAAGCCACAAGAAGAAAGATGTACCACAACAATCAGGAGCTGCATATCAATAATGAATATTAATTACTAATAATTCCATTAAGAGGTAAAGTCCAAATCATTTGCACTAGATACAGAGTTTAAAATGAATGTATTATTTCCCCTAGTGGTCCACAGTCTATCTCAGGTAGCTTCTAAGCTATTATTAAAATAAATGAATTGGCTTTAAGATACTCCATGTAAGAATCACAACACCTCCTTCCATCTCCCAAAAGAAACCCAGTATGTCCACATGTCCCCAACTCACGATGGTTCATCTTGCGATGCTTTAACTTTATGATGGTGTGAAAATGATACTCATTCAGTAGAAACCATACTTCGAATTTTGGTTTTAATCTTTTCCTAGGCTACAGATATGCAGTACGATACTCTCTCATGATGCTGGGCAGCCGCAGAGAGCCACAGCTCCCAGCTAGCCACACAATCACCAGAGTACACAACTGATACTACCGTATTTGCCGGCGTATAAGACGACTGGGCGTATAAGACGACCCCCTAACATTTCCACTCAAAATACAGTTTGTTATATACTCGCCATATAAGACTACCCCCTCTTCCGCACACCTTCCACACACCAAATAAAAGGTAAAACAATATCAGATTTGATTTGGCCCACTGAAGTGCAAACAAGCGTATTGTATTTCGTGTCACCACATAACCGTTTGGGCGATGTTGAGCCACCATGTCTGCTACATGTTTTTCGAGTTCTGGCCAGTGTGGGGTGCCTCTTCTTAATGCACACTTACCCCTTGGCATACTCTTTAATGCTTTCTCATTTGATTTCCAGTCCCGAACCATCTTTTCTGTTACTCCATATTGTCTTGCAGCAGCACAATTATTATTTTCCTTAGCAAAGTTTATAACTTTCAGTTTAAAATTTGCATCATACTTCTTTCTTTTGGCTGGTGCCATGATAGGGATGATAGGGGTTTGACTGGTCGACATTTTCTATGCTGTACTGTACAATGGTGCAGTATTGTGGTTGGCTGTTGGCTGTATACAAAGCCTGATTTGATTGGTCCCTGCTCCCTGTTTGCCCGCCCTGTCACTATAGCAGTCTGGTCCACCCTTGCATCAGCATCTCCCTGGGACCTCACTAGTGTGCAAGTGTGAGCTCTTCAACATTCTAACAGGCACCATGATAGCGCAAAATCGCGAATCTTCAATGCATATGTAAAGAAATATACGGTAACCCGAATTTACCACACTCGCAAAATCGCACACAGCCGACCATACACCCAGTATGGTATCGCGATTCACGATTTTGCTCTATCATACTGGGTGTATGGTCGGCTGTGTGCGATTTTGCGAGTGTGGTAAAATCGCATAACAGCAAAATTGCATAACAGCCGAGCATACACCCAGCAGCGCTGCTGATGCCTGAACGGTATGTGGAATGAAGTGGGCGGGCATCGGGAGGCCACTATGGCACGGGGCAAGCACTATGGGCAGTCTATCTGAAGTGTACCTGGCATATAAGACGACCCCCCACTTGGAGGCATATTTTTCAGGGCCAAAAAATCGTCTTATACGCCGGCAAATACGGTATATAGTGTACTGTGTTGCCAGTGATTTTTGGGTTATTGTGTTCTGAGCACGTTCAAGGCAGTCTAAGCTAGGCTATGATGTTCATTAGGTTAGGTGTATTAAATGCATTTTCGACTTACAGTATTTTCACCTTACAATGCTTTTAGCAGGATGTAAGTCAAAGAGCATCTGTACTAAATTTAATGCATGCACGCATGCGCACTTAAAGGCACTGAAGACGTTTCGTAAACGTCACAAGTTGGGCCGGGACAGGCTGTCACTGGGAAGTTTCACAGGTAGGTTCCTATTTCCAAGAATGAGCCAGGAAATAATTTTTGGAATATTAATTCCAGGGATCCAAAGTATCATATTCCTAGATTTACTTGATTGCTATGCTCCTCAAGAACAGGATGTAAATTAGGATAAGGAAGTCCTAAACTCTTAATAATAATCACTGCTATGAAATAGTACTTCAAGGTTGGCTGAATTGTATTTCTCTCTTCAAGACTTCTGCAAAGAGGAGTCTGTACCATAAATTTTGAAGAAAAAACAATGGCCTTGAATCAGGAAACTTAGATTTACATCAAAATTAACTGTTTGATTTTGCAATTGTATTTAACTCTTCTTTGTCATGGAAAAGGCTTGGTGGATGAATTAAATAAAACAATATGTGTTCTGTTTCTAGCAGAATGGTGGATTAGCTACCCTGGATGTCTTTTCCAATAGAAACAGCTCAAATAAAATATGAAAAATTATTTTAAAATATACATCCCTTAGCTGGCATGAAAGAAAGAGAAAAATAGAGTCTCAAAATGAAATGAAAATGGTAACTTTAGGAGGTAGATGCACATCCAGGTTTCAGCTTCAGGGCTTCTGCAAAACTCTAGAGTCTTTAAATTTCAACTCTGCTGGGTGGAGGTAAAAAAAAAAAAGGAATCTGTAACCACAAGCTCTTCCTCACACAGACCCTTTTGATGTCTCAGCTCATGTTAGGTTTGTGATCTGAAGAACTTCAAAGGAGGAATATAATATAAAGATGTCCTCAGGTAAAGATACTCCACACAACTGGCAAAAGCTAATATCACTAAGGACAAATCTTAAATCATTTCCATAGGTAAAGTCCCCCCCCCCAAAAAAAACTGTAGGTAACAGGAAAATAAATACATCAATAAATAACACATAAAGAAACAATGTTCAATGAACAAAAGCGATCTGAGTAAATAGCAGATTTCAGATATTGGAATGGTCAGACCAATTCTGACAATTATTAATTAATGATAATTCATTAAATATTAATTAGTAACTAAATTATATTTCAAATGTTTAAGCAATTAAAATCTAAAAGTGTGTGCAGGGAAAAAGAGTCCATATACAATGAGAGAACAGACTTCAAAGAATTCAATAAAACTTCTATAAATGAAAATGATCATAACTGAAATAAAATCTTACTGAATATGCATATATTAAATAGGGTATTGCATATAGATGATGAGAGAATTACTAAGTTGGAGACATAGCTGAACAAATTGATTTCAGTGTAGTTCAGAGAGAAAGAGGTGGAAAATATTAAGAGGTTAAGAAATATGGAGGTAAGCCTGAAAAGGTAATATACATCTAATAAGAATACTAGAAAGAGGTAATAAGAAGACTGAGGCAAAGACAATATTTAACTGATACTGGCTTAGAACTCTCTGACGATGTTCCAACAACCTCAAATCTAGGAATTCCAATAAATCCAAAGTGGAAAAAATGAAAAGAAATCCACAACTTGTCAC